GTCGTTCAATCCATTAGTGATTTATAGGGCTATTGTTGTAGCAATCACCAGTTGAGTTATAACAAGGTTCTACCACACTCTGATGCTGAAACTCCAACCGGATCTTGCACCCTTGCTTACTCTTAGTTACTGTTTTCATCTCATTAGTCGGGTACTTCACTCTTAAAATATTTCTTCCATTTTACCTCTGGAAATCTCATTTTAAAGTTGACTTTAGTGACTCTTTACTTTTAAATCCCTCTGGATCGATATCTGGTATTCTTACCATTATTACTTGTTTTGGACAATACTTCTAAGCTATGTACACTTGCATGATTTTTCATGTTGCTATAGCTTTTTTGGGGGTATAGATCTTTCCACACAATATATACACATAATTGAATATGCACACAACTCAAACACACTATGAACACTTTCTTAGAAATACCATTATAGTTTGTGAACACTCTAAATCTATGAGATCTAGTATAGCTTGTGAACACCAATTAAATCAATAAAACTAAATCTAAACTTAACACTTGTGAATACCATAGTAGAAAAATTCTTAAGGTTGTTTACATTGTGTTTACAATGTGTTCATCTTGTTTGCACATTTAATTGTGCGTGTGTATGTTACAAAAAGAGGAGAGGACAAAGGGAAAAAGATTGTACGGAATTTCCTTAAAAATGCATTAACTTTATTTAATTAATAACGATACTTATCTCTTTAATTAATAACACCAATTATCTTAAAATAGGGGTTCAGGATGGATCTCACGGATCTCATAAATCTGAAGTTATCAAATGATTAAGCCCCATAGTAAAGATAACATGAATAGTTTTTTTTTTCCTAATAGTAATAGTTAATTCAAACTTGCATTATAATACTGTTATATTTATCGACAACACACTAGATCATGTATTGTAGGCCGATATGTAGGACTATTGTATCCCATTTGGTTAGGGCTAAGAACCCCGCTAGTTCTTCTGATAACTCATATACCTGTACATTTGTCTAAAGCTACACACCAATATAGATGGAACAAAAACTCATCAGTGCAATCTTACGTATCATTAGGTATGTAGAATGTTGTTCATCCTTCCAAACATAGGCTTTGGATACTATGGGGGTGTTTGGGATTGCTTATAAAAACAACTTATTGACTTATTCCGGTGTGACACCGTAATAAGCACTTTTGAGTGCCGGTAATAAGGAATTTTTGAAGAAGTTAAGTCATTCTGACTTATAATAAGTTGATAAATGCTTTTGTAGAAAAGCATAAGTTGTTTCAAATAAGCAATCCCAAACACCCCCTATATCATGTATCACTTGAAATAAGCATGCGTTTCCCTGCAAATCTGTTCATATAACCACAAAAGTACTTTCTCATACGAAAAATAAGGAACAATGATTATGAAATCCATCGAGCGATCATAAAAATCCTCTTCATGATGCCCTTAAAAAGTTTCAAATATATGGTTAAACGATGATAACAAGTTCAAGTGTTTCGAAACACTTTTATTTCTTGTGTCTTAGCCACAAGCATGAAAGGTCACACGCCAATCGACCTTTAGAAAACAATAACTTGAAAAATTAAGTTTGCTCAAATATTTATTATGAAAATGGAGATATTTAATCTCATGTAGCCAATGGCTTCTCATTAATCACCACCATTTTCTGTCAAATCAGATGTGATGGTCGTCAAGTTTCACATCAGATAATGGCTCATGCTCAGTTGGCTCAAGCTTCTTGGTTGGCAAGGCCAACAACATTGCACCGAGAGGAGTCTCCAGGGGAGTGGACATCGAACCATTTGCTTGCTCAACGAACACATCTCCATCAACCGTTTCCTTCAGGAATACTTCTGGATACTCATGGGCAATGTCAAAGAGCTGCTTGCTAAGTCGTTCTATTGGTGAAAGAATAATTTGAGCAAGGACAGATCTTTTACGTCTAGGAAGGTTTTCAAAAATTGTCTCACTTAGTCCTGCATGCCAACAAAACTATATCAGTAAATTTAACAGAGGTATGATGATTGTCTAATAAAAATACACCTAAAACAATATATATATATATATATATATACATATATATAACAATTCGAAAAAGATGACTTGGGATCATGTGATACCAAGGGTTTTTCGTGAGACCTGTAAAACCAATTTTCAACTCTTGGATTAGATATACAATCTGAACATTTATAATCACAAAAATGCCACGAGACTTCTCAATAATCACAAAATTGTCACTGTGCAGCTTTAGACCATTAGATCATTAGCTTATAAAGTTGATCAATGAACATAAATTGGTCTTACAGGTCTCACGAAAAACCCTTGGTCTCACGTGAACCCAACCCCAAAAAAAATTATTAAGATAATTAGAAAAAGAAGTTAATAGTGCGTAGTAAAATCAATACAAAGTAACATAAATATATAGATCTTAAAATGAATGTTAAAAACATTGATTTTATGTCCAAATATAGTAACTCAAGTAAAATTGTTATATATATATATCTATANAATGCAAAAATTGAAATAGTATTATTGTTCAAGAAAATATATTTGATTATTGATTTAAATTTGTTAAAACTCATCAATAATAACAAAATAAATAAAAAAATTACCAATTAAATTTAAAGCCATAAATGTACTATTTTTATTTTTGATTTAAAAAAGACGGTCAAACCTTTCACAACTTTCAATTATATACCAAAATAAAAAATATTTATTAATCATATATTCTATATTGTATTATAAAACATTAATTACTGTTTATTAATGTATATTACTTAAAATTCAAGATTACAAGCAAATTATCTATGAGTACAATTTATTATAGGTTTGAATTCGTGTAACTAACTATAAATAAACATAATCAAATAGAGAATAAACATCTCATTTTAAATATAAAAAATCTAAAATATAATTAGAATAATCATTAAGTTCTAATAAAATACTTAATTATTATCTTTATAAAATTTATTGTATTAAACCCAAAAATGAATTAAAGAAATTACATAAAAACGGTGAAATTTTAAATAATTATTTTGGTACTAATATCAATATATCTTTTTCAAAATTTTATGATATCTTCATACTTATATTTTATTCAAAAAATAAAAACATTATCAAAAGCACATAAAACCGTATTATAACATTAACTGAGGCAAAAAAAACGAAACATTAAAATCGAGATGTATCTCGTTATATTGCGCGAGTCTCTTCTAGTATGTATAAGGTTAGCTTCAGAAGAAAACCGTAAAAAATGAAAAAAAAAATGAGGAACACCTGAGCAACCGTTTATCTGGACGGTGTGCACATGTGCATACAAATAATTGATAAGCAATTTGTCCGGTATGTACACATACATAAAAATAAAAAATGGCTTCAATACGATCCAGATAATTGATTACCAGAGTGATTATCAGTTTTTTTTTTTTTTTAGGGTTTTTCCCAGAACCCTTGGTTATTATAATCAAGGACAAATCACATAAAAAACAGGATGTAGTTTGGTTTTAAAGAGTCATTTAGCATATGCTTCCTGGATAAATGTTTATTAGCAAGTGTTATTATTCTTACTTGTCTTATCGGGTAACATTATCAGCCATTAAAATGAATTGGTAGTAAGAATCTCTATTAACCAATAAGCGCTAACCATATAGGAGCTTTTTTCTCACCGTGTAAAATTCTCGGTCTCTAATATGCTTCTTAATGGATAAGATTATTGATCTTTATCATGCCCATCTGGTATGGTAAGAAAAATGACACCCAATAAGTGCTTACCACGATTCCTGGATGTAGTTGGATGTGATTATCGGTGAAAGCATAGAAGGATCTCCTGTCAATAGTCACGGGGAATTACACTATAGCTTTAGGACCTGACCTGTAATAGGTRGTGTAAATGTCCTTATTTATTATAGGATGAAGATGATTCACTCACCAAGAAGACCATCTACTCGAGCAGTAAGAGTTGATTCAATTGCCAACAGAAGACCGTTTACGACAACAAGACTCATTAGCAGCAGATGATTGAATAGCGGAAGCATTGAGGAGATTACTCCTAATTGAAGACCCGATACTCTCAACCAAGAACTTCTATATATAACACCATTAAAGTGAAAGACCTTAGCCTATTCCTTTGTTATTTGAGAAAGTGAACCTTTTACCGGTCGATAGAAGGTCCCTAGAAGATAGGTCAAATAAGATAGGAGGTTGCAGATCGAAGAAGCAGGGTTCTAGTGTGCAAAGCCACTCGACTGTAAGGAGAGGGAGATGTTCAATTTAAATATGGAAGGATGGAATGGCTTATTCGAATAGAGACGAGACCCAACAAACACCTAATAAACGACCTTTTATGATTACATTTACCCAAATGCTTACCCGGTAAGTATTTAGTATTAAGAGTCAAACACTCTAACTTACTTCACCGAGTAAAATTGCCGTTCATCGAAACGATATTGTTTGCAACAATTTATCTGATGAGCGTTTAGCGGGTAAGGAACGTCACTCTCATTTACCGGATAAGACTCTCTATTCTTACCGACTAAGATTCCCACTCTTATCATTTTCATTCGGTAAAGTAAATAAGCTTACCCTAAAAACAATCCCTTATTCTTAGTGTATCACATACTTTAATAAAAAAAAACTTGACATATTAATTATTATTTCCATCAAATTATTATTTTGTTTAGGGGGTGTTTGAGATTGTTTATAAAAATAATTTATTCTGGTGTATTACCGGTAATAAGCATTTTTAAGTATTTGGATAAACAACTTATACCGGTGCCAAATCAATAATAAAAAGTTTTTGAAGAAGTTAAACTAGTCTGACTTATAATAAGTTGATAAGTGATTTTAAAATATAAGTTATTTCAAATGGATCATTTTCCATTAAAATTACAAGAATGAAATACATAATTGTTGAGAGTATAGGAATATGCACATTGCCCCCCTCATATCTGCACAAAATGTTTAGAACCTGCTGAAGGTTTTTATGGAAGTTATTCGATGAACTCAACTCCAATTTCAATCAGCAGAACCTGATGTTCATAGATTTAAAGAGGTAAAGCCATATCTCAAATTAATCAACAACCGTGTACCTGTTGATTTCATTTGTCATGTGTTTTTGTTCATCTCGTCGATTAATGTGAATCTTTTTCGTTTTGAATCCTTGCAATATCTTGGTGTTGATGATTAGTTTGGAGTTAACCTAGCCAGTTCTTCAAATTTTATTCTTATGGCAGTTCATCTGTTCTTGTTTGTGTAGAATCCTTTTGGCCAACAACAATTTATTGCAAAGTATAATTGGTGAGCAGAGGGTGTTTTCTTATTACCAGTTGTGTTTGCCACATCGGTGAAGTTATCACTGGAGGGAGAGCCTGAGCTGGAACTGTTGTTTTTGACCCCAACAATGCCCGAAGAGTGATCAGAGTTAGCAATAGCCAAGTAGTCTGCAGGAAGTAGTTCACCATTCTGGTTGGCTTCTCTCATTGCATGTTTAGGAGTGTAATCATTTAGGGTTCCTCTTGTCCTCCATCTGGAGCCACAAGCATTGCACAGTACCGGCTTTTCCGGTGGTCCATTCCTCCACAATGGGGTCTCTGTTCAACATTCTAATCCATCAGTGTCTTGGAGAATTCACTTTACATTAAGGTATAACACATTATGTAAAATATCATGCTTCCACAATATATATATACACATTATGCATAGTTAGGGGCGTTTACCGAACCCTTACCTGGTAAGCAAAATTCAACGCTATCACTTACTTACCGAGTAAGATTTTAGTCCACCAAAACAGTATCGCATGCAACAATTTACCCAATAAGCGCTAACCGTGATAAGAGTAGTATCCTTTAGTTTCCTGGTAAGACTCTCGTTCTTGCCTTCGCTCTTACCGGGTAAGATTCTCGGTCCTTGCCATATTCATCCGGTAAGGTGATGTGACTTGGTAAGCTCTTACCCGGGTAAGCGTTTGGTAAACGGCCCCTTAGAGATGTAAATGTGAGAAATAAACTTGGAAATCATGTTCAAGATTGTTGAGTGTCAATTATGTTCCCACAACTAGTTCTATTGTAATTAACTTCTGCTTGAATGCTCCAATAAATTCCTGTATCAACTCTATAGAAACCATGAACTTTGTTTTGTTGTCATTTATTATTCAAATTTATCATGCAATCCAAGTTTGACTACGAGTATAGACAGATTTGGAATCTGAATTTGTGTTAATTCAGAAACGAGGATAAAATTGTTTCTCTTGAAAGACTATTGCCATCATTCGAACGTATCATTTTGCATACCAACTATGTGAGTATATGTAGATTGTATTGCTCACAAGATATCACATTAGCAAAAAATCATGTTCAAGATTGCTGAAATACAATCATATTTCCAACACTACTTCTATCACGAGGGAGCTTTTGTGTTCCCATTTAATCTGACATTAATGATTCCTCTATTAAAAATTATGATTATAGCATAAATACCAAATTAGTTCATGCCACAAATGCGTTGATGATATATGCATATGCTTATTAACACATTTATACTTCCATTCACCGGTATATTTTATATTGCATAATGAAGCACCTCCAGAAAAGTGGGTCCGGATAGGTCACTTGGGAGAGAAAAAGGGATCAAATATATAGGTACTCAGAATGCGTATCACAGAAACCACTTGGTACTGGAGGTGTTAAAGATCTTAGGGCATGCTTGTTAGGAGCTTAATGAACTTAATGGAATCACAGGCAGCTTATTCGATCAGCTATACACGACTGTTTGGTAGTGGCTTAATGACATAGAAAGTGGCTTATTCAGTAGGGGAGCTTTATGCAGAAAGTCAAGTTTTATCCAAACCTGTCCTTCCAGGTAAAGAACACGCTCCTTTCATATATGAAAAACCCTCCCAAACAAAAAATCTTCCCAATCTATATAGACAGATTAATCCACACAGACAATTTTATCCACATAGGACTTAATCCACACAGACAACTTTGTATTTTAAGTTTAAATCAACTATAGTTTTGTATATATTTCTTCATCCAAATTTCTTATATGAATACCAGTTTTAATCAATGACAATGGAATATAGTGTTCAATATGTACATTTGATCCTTTTAATGTCATATAAATTTTAGAAACTTAAATCCCTCATGAGTTTCATGGACACATGCATCTTACATCGACAACCGGTCAAGCATGCAAAATGGGGCAATCTATATTCTTTTGTTGTGCTCATGCATAGGAGGACTCATAATGCAGGCCGGAGCTTCAACATGAGCGATGCACAAAAATTACCTAAGCACACTCACATGTGACACTTTCTAGAGGCTAATGTTAAAAGGTCTTACGGGAGGTATGTTTAATTAGTGTGTGATAAATAGCTGAATTTACATTGAAACTTGAATATTAGAATGATGCCAAGGAGTGTGGTCTTATTTAGTAGAGGCTTTGGCAATAGTGTTGAAGACGTGAGATGGATGATATGTTAATGCTATCATAGAGAGGTGAAATTTTGCATCTGTAATGCTCTGTTATTTATACAAGACTAAATTAAAAAAATAGATATTATGAATGGATGAAGTGATAATTATTTATGTTGCAATGATGGTAATCTAGATAGAAATTTCTCCATTTTGTGTCTGTCTTTCACACCATAGAGGATATGCCTCCATCTCATGTAGACGTTTCCATAAAAAATGCATGAAATTAAGGAAATTATTTCTATTGGTTACTATAGAATAGTGGGGCTTCTATAAGAAAATTTTGACTTACATATGGGTAGCTCAAGTCTTTAGGATTTTGGCATGATTTATATTTCAATAAGGGATAGGCACTGCAGGATGAAGGGAGTATGCTATTTTGTTGAAACATGACTGCTCAAATTGCCTGCTTCAAAATTCTCTAGCCAATGGAAGAAACTAGATTCTTTCTCTCAATGTGTTAGAAGCATCAAATTCCCTATACCTAGCATAAATCTTCAAAACACATTTTAAGTTCGTGCTAAGATGTTCATTAACCAAAATTCAAAAGTTAAAGATAGGTTTAATGCTTATTGACCAAGATTCTTGAGTTATTGAAATTGCACCGTCTTGGTATATGCCTAAAAGTATCGACTAGTCCTATTTCTATCATAATTTTGATGGGCGTATATCCATATTTTGCTCTCTTGTTTTAACGCACTGACAAATATTATTCAGTTACAGTGAGAATATAGAAACCATAAAATTCCCCAAAATGGCCAATCCAATTATGTAAAATATCATGTAAGCATCTTCTCTAGTATTCTGCCTGTATGGCAACACATTCAATAAAAAGTAATATATAAGTACTAAAAAGGTAACTAATTAAAGACATACCGTATGAATTAAATGAACTGCTCACACAAAAATCAAATAGGAATCAAGTTGCTAGATAAGGAAAGCCTTACGTTCAATTCCACAATGGTAACAAGGTCCTTCTTTTCCCATGAAAACTGATCCCTTGGGAAACTTCGACACTAGAATGAGGTCCAGGAAAAAGGCTTAGTTAATCTTACAAAAATCAATGTTGAGGTAAATTGAAGCAACCAACATAAACACAGACAAAGGAACAAGGGTTTAAAACTTAGAAGTTCAAATTGTGATAGGGTTACCTTTGGGCTCTTGCTCACCTTTCTTGATGATGGTTCTCTTTTGACCCCCTGGAATTGGTCAAGTAACAAATGGAATGATAGATAACTTTTAATTACAAATAGGAGTAGAATTTTATGAAAAGTAACGACCGATAAGATTTCTGGGAAGATATTAATTTGGTTTTCAATTCCTACCATAAACTCCTGCATTTCGACATTTACAATTATTTTTCAAGGATTTAAAAAATAAATAATATGGAACTCCATAGGCTGTAATTATCTGTTTTCCATTTAAGAATGATTAACTTTGACTTATTTTTTGTTGTTTTTCGTGAATATTTGATTAAAAAAACTTTTTAGGTAATTTTTTTTTGGTAGAAAGCATTCAAGTACCCAGTGTGTCTAGATGGAGATTTCCTTTTGTTTCTCTGTAATGAGGTGGCATTTGTCTGTAACTTGCCTTGTCAGTTAGTCTTGTTACCTAAAATTTATAATTACTAGTATAGAACTAGACAATAAATATGATTCTCAAATTCCTCAAAATGACTGTATAGGGAAACAAGATTCTTAAATTTCTGAACCTTCCTGTGCTTAATTGATATCTTGCGAGACCAAGTAAGTATTGATTTTTCTATAGTGCTGATGCAATTCGTTCTTTTTGGTATAGTAATTCAACTAATTAATTGCAAATTTATTTTCCATATATTTTAAATTTTATGCATTAATGATATTCTCATTTCTTATTAGATAGTTATTATAGATGAGTATTTATAAATATTTCCATATATGTTTTGTTATCTATTATTCTACCATAAGGAGGCATATGTGTTATTACCCAATATCTTATTTTATTTAATAAAGTTCTAATTACGATTATAAGAAAGATGGGTTAATCGTATCTTTAGATATAATAGAAAAATACAGGAGTCTTCATCTCAAATCTTGTAATTTCACGAAGGACGTGTTACATATTTGCGAAACAAAAATCACATGATTTTGAGATGATGACTCATGTCTTTTTCTGTTATATCTGCAGATATGATTAACCCATCTTTCTTATTTTCAGAATTGGAATTTTATTAAATAAAACAAAGTACTGGGTAAAAATTTATATGTCTCCTTATGGCAGAATAACAAACAACAGAACATATATGGAAATATTAAATACACTCATCTATAATAACTATCTAATAAGAAATGAGAATATCATTAATGCATAAGATTTAAAAGATATGGAAAATAAATTTGTAATTAATCAGCCGAATTACTATATCAATAGGAACGAACTGCAGCAACACTACACAAGGATCAATACTTACTTGGTCTCACAAGATTTCATATGAAGGGTCAGAATTTGAGAATCTAGTTTCCCTATGCAGTCAATTTGAGGAACTTGAGAATCGTATTTTATTGTCTAGTTCTATACTAGTTTTATAGAATTTAGGAAAAAGGACCAACCGGCAAGGCAAGTGACAGACAAATGCCACCTCATTACAGAGAAACAAAAGAAAATCTTAAAAAGTCTCCATCTAGCCACACTGTGTACTTGAATCTTTCTACCAAAAAAAAAGTTTTTCTTTTATCAAATATTCAAGAAAAACAATAAAAAATATGTCAATGATTGCTCTTAAATGGAAAACGGATAATTAAAGCCTATGGAGTTTCATATTATTTATTTTTTAAATCTTTGAAAAACAATTGTAAATGACAAAATGCAAGAGTTTATGGAAGGATATGAAAACCAAATTAACGTCGTCCCAGAAATATCATTGATCGCTATTTTTCAAAAAAATCTACTACCATCTGTAATTAAAGGTTATCTACCATTCTATTTGTTACTTGACCAATTCCAGGGGGTCAAAAGAGAACCATCATCAAGAGAGGTGAGCAGGAGCCCAAAGGTAACCCAATCACAATTTGAACTTCTAAGCTTTAAACCATTGTTTCTTTGTCTGTGTTTAATTTGGTTGCTTTTATTAACCTCAACATTGATTTTTGTGAGATCAACTAAGCCTTTTTCCTACACTTCATTCTAGTAGTGTCAAAGATTCCCAGGGGAAAGAAGGACCTTGTTACCATTGTGGAATTGAACGTAAGGCTTAACTTATCTAGCAACTTGATTCGTATTTGATTTTTGCATGAGCAGTTCAGTTCATTCATACGACATGTCTCTGATTGATTATCTTTTGAGTACTTATATGTCACTTTTTATTGAATGTGTTGTCATACAGGCAGAATACTAGAGAAGATGGTTACATGATATTTTACATAATTGGATTGGCTCTTTGTGGGAATTTTATGGTTTCTGTATTCTCACTGTAACTTTGTAAGTACATTAAAACAAGAGAGCAAACTATGGATATACAGACATCAAATTATGATAGAAGTACGACTAATCGATACTTTTATGCATATACCACAGGGGTGCAATTTCAATGACACAAGAGCCTTGGTCAGTAAGCATTGAACCTATCTCATAACTTTTGAGTTTTGGTTAATTAACATTTTGACAGGAACTTAAAATTTGTTCTGAAGATTTATGCTAAGAATAAGGAATTTGATTTTTCTAACACATTGAGAGAGAATCCGGTTTCTTGCATTGGCTAGAGATTTTTGAAGCAAACAATTTGAGCAGTCATGTTTCAACAAAAAAACACACTCCCACATTCTGCATTGCCTATCCTTTTTTGAAATATGATCATGCCGGAATCCTAAAGACTTGAACTATCCATATGTAAGTCAAAAATTCTATATAGAGGCCCCACTATTCTATAGTAACAAATAAAAAATATTGCCCTAATTTCATGCCATTTTTATGGAAAAACCTAACACGGTGTCAAATATGGACAGATAGTGAAGAAATTTCTATCTAGATTACCATCATTGCAACATAAATTCTTTTCCTGAATTGTTATCATTGTAAGTGTTGTAGTAGTGGTTGAATTTTAACTGCAGCTCCGCAAGCAGGGAAGAAGAAAACACTTCTTGGTCAAAATGTTTGCTTTCTTGATGCTCCTTGGACCTTGATTCAATAAAATCTTCATCCATACTTGACTTATAAAGTTCCGTTTGTGGATTAAGTTACAGAAGTTAGTGATTTTTCCTAAATCACCCTTCTTTCTCTTAGGTGCGAGAGGGCTTTTGGAAATAATGGATAAGATTTCAAGTCAATTTATATGATACTATGAAGTATGAGCTTAAATTTAAAAATAAATTACATTCAAGGTTTTGAGAATCCGTCTCTCTTTTACCCCCTTTTACATCTTAAACCAAATATGTTGTTACCTTATCTATTTTCTTTTTTTGGGGTTATAGTTGATGATTTTTTTAATCCTATCTCTATTATAGATCCAGATGTCAGAGTTTCTTCTAATCGAGCTCCTCGCATATAGAATGAATTCAAATAGACTTGCTGTGTAATAGACCACATTACGTAGCTTTAACTTGCTTGCATCTCATATATTTATAAATGAGAAGAGTATATATGAGATATTTCTCACAGTGAGGAATCCCTCCCCCATTTCCCGTTCACTTGATGGCACCCCTTATATTCACTTATATTCACACACTTGCAATCCAGTTCCTCACTAAGCAATTCCTAACGTATGTTAATCCCTGAGATATACAATTTTTTGAAGCGACAGGTAGGGAACGGGAATTAAACTAGCGATCTCCAAGGAAGTACCACCTAGGGATAGGCTGAATACCATTCTTGTTAAGACACTTGACAATATAATATATTATGTCCTAAATTAGTAATACTTAAAGGTCTCAGTTGGTAACACTCTGTTTTCCATTTTCATTTTATGCAATGCAAACAGAGTTGCGATTTCCACTTAACAATTGAATCAAAATGCATTTTGTGAGATTGCTTCTTTTTACAAAAAAAAAAAAAAACAAGATGTAAACTTAGAGTAAAATAAGACTATATTTCACCCAGTTTAAAAACTCAAACCTCATAATAGTCAAACAGTCGGCGAATGTTATTCGTCTTCCTGTAAACTACTTCTGTAAAGTGTTAAAAGCGTAACACTGTTTTCTGACTAATTTTCACTTAAAAAAATGTAAACATTAAAACAAAAGTCGGCAGTGTTGCCAAATGACGCTTAGTTGTTGTTAGTAAGATCAAATTCTAAATGTTGGATAGACAGTTAATGAGATTATTCCATCTCTAATACAATTACTACATTTCATTTACTTCATCTCTTAAGCAACAAAGTACCATTTCTAAATGATAGCCATATAGTTGTAAACAATTTCATGTTCTTTAAACAGAAATCTCTGATTTTGATAAGAGATTGAATAAAAATCATCTTTGAGTATATCTTTAGAGACATTTGATGGTCAATGTCAAACTTATTTGGACTCAGATGCCATGTAATAACATCCGCTTTCTTGCTGCAAGATTAAGGAACCATATATTGATCACGTTTCAAACTGTAATTGCATTTGCCTATTTGCAATCTAGCAACACTTGCTAATATAGAACTAAACAAAAGCATAAGTTCATCACAGGTTACTGAGAGTTATTTTTTATAATAACTAACCAAATGAACCCAGTAACAGTAAGGTGGGGTTGGGGGGGGGGGGATGTACACAAATCTAACCTCTAAATCAAAGAGTATAGCGGCTGTTTCTTGAAGACCCTGGCTTGTGCAAAGAGTGCGAACTATCTAAAGTATGCTAAAAATGATAAAAGTAATTAGTAGGCTTTTTACTATTAGCACATTTGGGCTTATCCAAGCAGTTGGGATTTCTTCATAACAACCTAGAACTTTGTCCCTGCGGCATTAGCCTAACGAGTAAGAAGGTGGGCTTCCCTGCAGAATGCAGACCTAGACCTCTTAATGGCTGAGAAGCTTGTAGTGTTGGGAGGCCTTTGGGGGGGGGGGCAGTGGCTTTGTTGGTTCGGCTATAGGCAAGGTTGCAGTATCAAGGGGCATAGAAGTCATAAGCTTAAGTAGGCACTCCATTTACTTTCTAATCGCGTTATCTATAACTATCACGTTTTTCCAATTCGATCACTCTCATGGCACGTGTGGAAGCTTCTTTCTTCTCTTAGCCAACTTAAATCTATTTATTCTCAACTTCTTTATTCGATTTGCAAAACCGGTCTTTGTAATTGTAAAATGTTAAAGTAGAAAATGTGAATTACGATGATTAAATTCAACATAGGGAGTACAATAGTTATTTTCTTAGAAAGGCAGGCTTCCGTAATTTATGGTTTAATTTATGAATTTCTGTAGACCTGTTGGATAGTTTCTCTTTCTCAGCTATGTCCATCAACAGGGAGGAGAGAAGTGGGAAGAAAGGATTCCATGAGGAGGCAACCTAAGGCCGTTTTCATGGCCTTTGGGACGAAAGGCGATGTGTATCCTATAGCTGTAAAACTCTCCCTCTCTTCAATTTTAAATGTTTATAAAGTCTATCACATACTCCCTCAGTTTCAAAAAAGATCATTTAATTTCTTCTTTGGTTCCAAATATTCAATTGAAATGTTTAAAAACTGCATATGAATATACCTTCTTCATTCCAAAAATGAGATCATTTTCATTTCTCCTTTTGTTCCAAATTGAATGAAAAAAAAATGAATGTTCGGAATAACAAGTGCTTATTCGAAGATAAAGAAATCATTCACCCATGTAAGAAAGATAGAAAGATTCTAGTAAACATGCCTTTTCTATATAATTTCTTGTTTAGCTACATACCATTTTTCTAAATTATAGCAAATTATTCTGAAACATTCATAGAAAGATACCTGTTAAAGTCTCTGCATTTAAACTTTGTTGATGTTTAAAATTAGAGCTGATGTTAACCGATGCTAATTATCTGACAAACAGTGATTTATAGCTAGAGAGGATAAAAACTCCTATGTTTTAGCAGAGTGATCGAACATTTGGAACGGAATGAGTTCTGATTTTTTTATCACCAAAGCTACACAAGAGCCATGATAACATCAAATTAATCTTCAAATAAGGTTCAAAGTGTACCGGTGAAATGAAGCTAATGACTTGATTATATAATGGTAAAGCAGATGATGACTACAAGCACCCTCATAAGAATAGGAGTGTTCTGCCAAAAAGAAAACTCAACTTTTATGATGATTGAGAATTATTGGTGTCCATTAACTTCCTTACTGTTACATGTTCAACAAACGAGAGTTCACAAGTGAAATAGTGACCCGCCGTATGTCTTATTTAGCTGATTAAGGACATCAACTCCAACTTATCAACCATTTTCCAATGTGATCTGGTTAGTAATGATGGATAAGTTAGCTGCTTCAGCAGCGTAAGGAGGTGGACTTTCCAACTTTGGTATTGTGGGTAGAGTTCCATTTAATTGGTTCTTTTGTGTTCCTGTACATTTCCAACTTTAGTAGTGAGGTGGACTGTATGATGAAAACCTGCTAGAAGCGTTATGACCAGATTGGCTAAGATGTAATGTGAGAAAATAGATAAACACTGAAAACATAACAGCTAGATATTTACCTAGAGATCAGTAATTATTGGGAGAAGAAAACAATGGCATGTAGTAGTGTGATCATGTATGTTGAAGTTATTTTCCTTTGAAGATAGAACAATTGATGTGAAGCGGAGGCGTTGGTGGAGATGCAGAGTAGCAAAGTTATGGTTTGCTTAATAAACTAACAACCAGAAGTATATGCAATGTTAATATCATGTGTACAAAGAAGGGTAGCAGGAGTGAGAGTGGCATCAGTAAGTAGCTAAACTTATATTTAAGAAGGCTGGTCTCCACTGCAAATGAGTCCATCATGAAAAAGACTCGTTAAGAGCTATATGACAAAGTATTTTCTAAAACAAAGTAGCTGAATTGAGAAAGTCCAAAAATGGAGGATTACCAAGCAATAGGAGCTACTTTCTCTTCATCTGAGGTTCATCAAGCAACCAACCCTTGGCTAAAGAAAATCTCACTTTAGTTTATAACACTAGATTTTTTCATCCGATTAAAAATTATATCTGGAGGCAGGCCAGTCATATTCTAGGTGTTGGTTTGAACATTATACTTTTCTCTGGCACTGTGACAAAAGACTAGAGAAGTTAGCTGATGAAACAAGGTCAGTGAAAGGAGCAATGATTGATGACAAAGTACAAACACTCGAACCTACCACAAATTTGTAACATTTTTTGTTGATTGTATGTAGGACAAACATTCTGGATCAAAAACCTTAGGCGGCTTTTGGTTCGCATAATGACAAATACCCTGAAAAACCATTTTTTATGCATGAAGTCCTGATTATTGATGCATATTACTTAAAATTTGAGGTTACAACTAATTTGTGTGTATTTACAACTTATTAAAGCTCCATGTTTGAATCCGTGTAACTAACTGCAGATAAACATAATTAACTACATGATAAACATCTCATTTTATATATAAAAAATCTAAAATATAATTAGGATAATGATTGAGTTATACTTATAACAAAATACTTAATTATTATCCTTATAAAAATTATATTATTAAACCAAAAATATATTACTTTGTTATTAAACCTAAACTAAATTATGATAAAATATTTGAATTAAAGAAATTACATAAAAAACGAGAATTTTTAAAAAGTTAATTTGATACTAATATTGATATATTTTTTCAAATTTTTATGAATAAAAACTTTATCGCTTTCTCAAAATCACATAAAACTGTATTATATCGACAGTGACAAAAAATAAAACGAAACATTATCTCGATGTATCTCGCTGCATTGCGCGAGTATCCTTCTAGTAAGGTATAACCGAGGAAGATGCTATTAAGGGAAATCATATTAAGATGTGTCGGCATGTGATTGATGAGATATTACGTAACGTTGGTTTAATGTTCTTTAGATTCATGGAAGATTTGCACATGGCACGGCCATTGTTGGACGTCATGGTTTTTCCTTATTAGAAAAATATCATGAACCTTATTTATTTTTAAAAGGTGATCCTTGAGTGATTGATCATCTTGATCTCAACAGAATGGCATGTACTCCAGTAATAAGATTAGTATTTGGGGCCAACTAACTTTTAGATGCACCTATTCAGAAGGGATTTGCAGGATATCTACTTAAATTTCATCATTGATGCTAGTTTAAGCAACAATGACATGATACACAATAAGAGTTGGAGTCATTAGGTAAACTCTCACAAGGCAACAATGTTTGAAGATCTAAGCTTGGGAAGGGGAAAGAGCTTACTCAGTTGGAGATTGTCACATGGAGAAAACTGTGGCATGCTGTCAATGAGTTATCAAGATAAATCTTAAGTGACAACATTTGGCCTCGGTCTTCTCTTGTCTGGCTTATAAGACATAGTAATATTATATGCTGCAGTATTGCCTCACATGATCTATAGATTGACTTTCTGCAAGAATTTACCTAACATTTCAGTTAACTAGTGTTGCTTGTTGATGCCATGTCTTCCATTTTTCCCTCTTCTTGCTCTATTTTTATTGATTACTTTCATTTTTTTGTAACATTTTTTATGACATGTCTAATATTTATCTGCAGGCAATTGCTGCAGCTTTTGCTTGTGACCAGGTGCATTACCATGTGGTTTTTATAACGCACTCTGCACATGAGGTTTGTTCAATACTTGCTGGTGGTAGCAGTACAGGGTCCAACCGTCTTGCCCTCTGATATACTCCTGTTTCAGATATCTTTCCATATTGTAGTTAATTTTTTACCCCTTTAATGTACCTTTTTTAAAGTGGTAAAAATTCAAGTGTAAAACGTATATATCTCACCTTTTGTCAGAGTAGACCGACCTTAATACTAGGTCTCCTTTCCATTTTTACCCTTATACTTAATGCACATGAATTGTTTTAAACCATTTTAACTATCAAAAGGTTATACAACAAGACCTTCACAAAAGAGTGAAAAGTTACATGCTGAAGTCAAATCATTTAAGCCTTGGAGAATAAAGAATATGAAAAATTGAAGAACGCAATAATCATATTTTGTGTGTATAATACTTATTACTGTGTTTATGTAATATGGAGAAGAGATTAGCATGATAATCCTTTTCAAATTTATAGTTTTAGAAGGTTGAAGTTATCATATAAGGGGCAAAATAGAAATTAAGACATTTATGGAAGGAGTTTTAGTTCTCATACTAGCACATGCTTTGTTAGTGTATGATCAATCAGAGTTAAAGTAGGACTGTTGGTGTCATATATGTATATCTGATTAGCTAGTTTATCCTAATCCCTATAATTGGGGAGCTATTATTGGAGAGATATACTTGTAACCGAGGTATATAAATATGTACATCTTGTTAAGTAATAAAACACAGCTGAGAATTAAAGCTCTATCCCGTTGCATGGTACTAGAGCATCTCTCACCCTAAACTCGTAGGTCAGCATCGTTGCTGGCTTGCTGCTCACTCTTGCTATCACCAAAAAGGGTCTGACGATCCACTTGTCCATCTTGTCAGTAATGCTGTCTGCCTTTTCATCTCTCTCACTGCTGCTGCTCTCTCGCCATGTGCAATCTGTGGTCCTTTTTTGTCTATCCACTTGCCTGTTGCATCTCCTTGCACCTCAGCCTCAACTAGTATCTTCGCTGACGGCCATCTTCTCGAGCAAACCATAACCACTGTCTTTGACTGTTATAATGGTTTCATTAGGTAATTTTAAGGCTAATTGATATAACGTCTTGTTAATTATCAAAACAATGATAAACGGTCTGGATTTACTAATTTGTCGATACTAGGATGCCATAAATTAAACAGAAAGCTAGCAACGAGAAGATAAGTCCTGAGTAACATAGGGACCAAAAGATAACATACTTAATGCTAACGCGATTAGAATTACCTGAAAGAACCAAGGATATTCGGTTTGGACCCGGAAAATACATCGTATCAAGAGTAAATTTTGTTTTGACATATGTATGTAAAAATAAAGAGGGAAATGAGACAAACACAACAATGTATTATATGTACAACCAGGTTTCAATATTACAAGGTTTTAATTAAAAACATAAGTATTATATATATGATATTTAAGTATTTTAAAAGAGAAATAAAAGGTTTATGATAAGATTTTGGTTAGTGAATGTTAAGGGGTGGGAATTTAGGATGAATTATCAAAAAATAATCTGCCACCTCATGGGGGGGATTAAATGCCACCGTAAGTGGTCTCTCTTCTATAAATAGGAGAGTTTTTGACCCTCTCCCTTATTGTTCCTTCCACAACCCAGCAGAAATCAAACAAAAAACTCTCTGTCGTAGGAGGCAAGAAGGCAGGAGCTACATAATTTAGGTCTCCAAATAGCTAACGGCAATTAGATTACTACATGTTCTCTTTTTGGTTGATACATACTGTGATACATACTAAATTTCAGTGAATTTTCATGGTCTATTTGAACTTTGAAAGTTAAAACATGCCTCAGGGGCTGTTTGGTTGGTTTTCCATCAAGTCTGTATGAACAAAGTTGTCTGTGTGAATTAATCTGTCAGTATAGATTAGGAAGGTTTTTGTTTGGGAGAGTTTTTTCATAGATGGAAGAAGCGTGTTTTTAATTGGGAGGGGTAGGTTTGGAAAAAAACTTGGCTTTCTGCATAAAGCTCCCCCCTAGATGCTTATTGAATAAGCCACTTTCTATATTATTAAGCCACTACCAAATAGTCATATATATCTGACCCAATAAGTTGTGAGTTCCATTAAGCTCATTAAGCTGCTAACAAACAGATCCTCATACATCTTCACTGTCAGACCAAGTCTTCAGGACTTCTCCAACAACCATGTGCAGTCAAACTCCAACAAAATGCAGAGATAATTCTCCACGTATTCAGGATTTCTAATCTTCATATTCTGTATAAATACATGTACTGCTGTTGCTTGGAAATTGAATTCCCAGAAATACAAAAACTTTGTTCTCAACTTTTACAATGTGATCTCATGCCATGTTTCATGTAATTCACTAATCATATGTTAATAATTATTAATCGATGATTGTGGGTGATTTTAGTGTCATCTGCCATTTGGTGTAATTGACATTTACATGAGACTGAAGGGGTTTAGATTAAATTATACTACGGGTTAGGAGATGCGGAGAGTATGCTAGTATAAGGTAACTTGAACCTGGGATGGCCATACAGAGGGGTCAAGTGGCAGCAATCCTTGCGGTATGCTTAAGAAGCTGACGCTGAAGTGTCTTCAATGAAACTGATCAGTGTGTCATCACTAATCAGCGTGTCTTCAGTGACACATACCAGTTTGTCTTCAGTGTCTATCCTCAGCGTCTGATAGCTTCAGTGCCTCAGTGCTTCAGCGTCTGATGGCTTCATCTCATTGAGATGTCAAGTTTTGAATTTTTCCATATGCAGAAGCAGAGGCCAATGCTGATTTCAAATTTCAGATGAGGCCTGAGGGTATCAACATTTTAGATATTTGTGGATATGGGATATGGATGCTGATATTATATTACTCTTCTCTTGGAGTCTGTATGTGGTCGGTGTTACTTGTAAATATGTCTTTACCAAAGTACATGGGCATAAGTGGAAGAATATGAAAAATTTCTTCTCCCATCTTGCACTTCCTTTTCTAACCTAACACAAACAAGGAAGGTGATACTCTATCCATTCCACTTGTTTTTTGTTTTTTCTTTTTTAAATACATTCTTCTCTCCTACCAACCAGAGTTTTAGGTGCTGTTTGTTTTTATCAAAAAAGCCCTTAATACCCTCTGAAGTCTGAATCGGTCAGACCTGAGGGTATTAAGAGTGTTTGGTGGCGTTTGTTTTTTAAGAGGTGCTGAAGTCTGAAGTCTGAATTCACTTCTGAATTTTAAGAGGTGGTGCTGAAGTCTGAAATYTGAATCAGTCAGACTGTTTGTTTTTACGTCTGAAATCTGAAATCTGAATCAGTCAGACTGTTTGTTTTTCCATCTGAAATCTGAATCTGAAATCTGAATCAATA